CTAGTTCTAATATCATACTCGTACGTTTAGAATCCTAAACACATAAGGTTTCCAGACCCGGTCGGCAACAGACCATAGATCCGAACAATTAACAGCATATCAGGCACAAAGCATTTTGCACATAAAAGCATTTTAGGCATAATTCCTAAAATAAGCTAGTGCTTACACCTCACAATCATCGCTTAGCATTCTAAGTTTAAGTCTAGAAATCCTACAAATTCCTAGTTCGCTTAAACTAATGCTCTGATACCAACTGTGACATCTCCAAAATCACGGCCAGAAAAGACCGTTTTTGTTTATACTTTATTTCAAAATCAGAGTAATCTTTTAATAAAAGAGTTGCGGAATTTGTCCCAAAACAATATTATGATAAAGCATTTCCTTATAAATGTATTTCATTAAAAGACTCGGGATGTCATGTTCGATACACTACATAAGTATAAACAATACAATATAAGCCTTACTACATTATTTCATATCTACAGGCCTATATACGTAATCCCTCTTCCAAACATCATATCTATGCTCAAGCGCCACTACCTATAATACATAAAACTGAGTGGGTCGGGCTTGGGAGCCTGGTGAGCACATAGGGTTTTCAACCCACAATAAATAAGTTTATTAATTCCATCAATCAACAATTACCCGATTACCCGTTCCCGTTATCCTCACATTACGTCCCTAAACACCTATCATAAGGGACCTATCCTAAGGATCATCATCAGGATGGACACTACCACTAAGGGGGTTCCTCAGCAATAAATGTCCTAAAGGCAACCATGTGGGGGATGGAGTACACCGGTGAACACATCGTTCACAAACACCTACAGGTTGCGAGCGTGCCAGCGTTCCACTGGACTGTCTAGAAGAGTGTGGTCGTCATCGATACTCCGCTAGATGACTGGATCAACAACATCAACATCGAGGCCTCTCATCATTTTATCACATATCGTCTTATTACATCTACCCATGTTTTACCCCAACATTTTTGTAGATATAAAATACATATACAGTTTAAATCATTTAAAACTTGTATAGAAACATTCATCCAGCATCGATAGCAAGTATACAGATAATATGCACACATAGCACGTAATATATAAAATACTTCATATCTATGTGTAAGATGAAAGTAACTATGCACTCACCTGAAATGGTGGTGATTCCAAACTCAAACAGCGTTTCGCTTCTTAAAAAGAATTTTCTTCGACGAAACCTAGTATTATTACCACTAGAGTTTAGTCTATTATTCGCCGAGACTAATTAATAGTCTAGCTATTATTATTATTATTATTATATAAGCGTTAAAAAATAATTATATAACCCATAATAATAGCCCAAGTATTTATTATAAGTTCCTAATAACGTTACTATAATTAAATAAAAGCTATATTAAAAATAGCGTAGGCGTAGCTCACTTACAGCGGGTTTTATAGAAAACCAGGATTTGCTTGGAGCAGCGTTTCCGAGCCAAAAAGCTCTTCTTCTCGGAGCCGTCGAGCACTCCGGGGCTTCCGCCTCGTGCTAGGGAGGTTCCCTAGGCTTTTCGGGGGGGGGGGGGGGTTTCGGGGTTAGAGAGAGGTTCTAGAGAGAGTAAAGAGAAGAAAGAATGGGAAAGGTGTGAAGAAAATGAGGGTGAGAGAGGTGGTATTTATAGGGTGAAATGTGGCTGAACTTGGTGTCACATGTCACCATCTGGTGCCAAGCCTTGGGGAGAAAGCAATGACCAAGATTGTGCCACATCACCCATTTTCGCACAACACACTTCCGACTTCTAAAATCCATAACTTTCACATACAACCTCCGTTTTTGACGTTCTTTATATCCACGTGTAGGTAATAATAAGATCTACAACTTTCATTTAGACTCCGTCGGCTAATTCTCGACCGATCTTAAATTTAATAGTACAAGGAGATTATACTGTTAAATGTCCGCGTAAAATTCATAACTTCTACATACAGACCCTGTTTTCGTCTGTCTTTTTACCGTTGATTTCCTATTAATGAGATCTTCAACTCTCATTTAGGTCGCGTAAGCCAAAAACCGCTCGAACTAAAATTCGAGTTTCGGGCCGTGCACTGCTAAGCCGAATCTTAGAAAAATCATAACTTCCTCATACGAAGTCAGATTTGGGCGTTCTTTTTATGGATGTTGTCGGTTTAACATATACTATAACTTTGGTTAAGATCACTAAGGCTAAAAAGTCCTTCATCGTAAATTCACTATTTACATCTCCCGGTGCCGTGCCGGTTTTGACGTAAAACTTCGGCGAGCCATAACTTCTTCGTTATAACTCGGATTTTGGCGTTCTCTATATCCCCGTAATCCTTGTTTCGACCACTACAACTTTATATAGAGATATCGGGCTTATCTCACACTTTAATTTTGATGGTTATTTTTATTCTTTATTAATTATACATTTATAATTAAATACTAAGCACATAAATACACATAATTCACATAATACTCAAATATTTTATCTTTATTACCTCAAAAAGAGTTACAAGAGTTGACCTAGACTATTACATTGTCTAAAATGCTTAGCCCTGAAACCCGGACGTTACAATATCTCTTTTAATGTCATGTATATCAGGTTACAGTCAAGGACAGAGGATGATAAATGAAAGTTAGAAGTCCTAAGATAGTGAACAGAGTGTAACCTATTAAGTATTTTATTTATTGTATTGATGTAATTCTCATTTGTTTGCTATGGTTTGTATGATGTTTAATGGTAACACCCAACGTTGTAAATGTTTTTGTGGAACCATTTTTTTTAATCAAATATGGGTTAATACCCGTAATGATTTGTTTAAACCATAGCATTTTTCAAGACTGAAAAAGTTTAAAAAATTTGGGGTGTTACAACTAATGTTTCATATGTAAACCTAAAATATTTATGGTCTATATATTCTACACATTTAAGAAATAAAATAAAAATAAATCTCACAATTAATTTCGGGTGAACATATTAATCAAAAAACCGAACCATTTTAACTGAACTATTACTAAAAGATATGGTGCAGTTTCTAATTTTGATTAATCGAATACATATGATTCGATTATGATTTTTATTTAAAAGCGAACCACTATAAACTGAATCGAACCAATAATGTTAATAAATGCTTTTAATATACTATAATATTAAAAATATGGTGTATAATTATACTAGGAAGTGAAAATTTAAAAGATAATTATTTGGAATTAGATATGATGTGTAATCTTCTATCATTACAATTATATATACGTAATCATTCACTTTTTTTAACAATGGACTTTATGTTTTCAGTTTTTATAGAAAAATATTTTTATTTTTATGTCATCTTGGACTATTATGGTTAACCGATATCAACTATTAATCAACTAAAACTATTAATCAAAATCAATATTTACCGCTACTCAATGGTTATTGAAATACATAAACCAATTGTAATACTTATGGTTTGGTTTGACCAATAACCAAACCAAACCGAATTAAACCGTCCCATACACACCCTACAATTAATCATCAGTACGACCATCATCATTTTCATACGTGTTTTCAAAGACCATAAATTTTTGATGGGGACAGGAAAGAAGGGATGAGTTGTTTGACCAAGTTAACGAAAGGTAAACTCTCTATTATACGAGACTGAAACAAAAGCAACCGGCTAAAACATAATTTTAACAATTTTTTCTATTAGGCTGAGTGTAATAAATTTGAAAATCTTTATATAAACATTAATAAAGGTAATCATATAATTTGCATGTATCTGATATCCATTTTGCCTTGTTATATTTATGTAATGAAAGTGATAAAATCACAAAAGTTAACACCTTCTCAAGTTAATTTAAAGTGTGGAAAAGAAAGATAGTAAAGTAAATTATTGGAGAAATATGTTGAGTTTTTTTTTATTTTTTTATTTTTTTATTTTTTTATTTTTTCAAAGAAATGAACGGGATGGAATGGAAGGGGACTAGCGGAGGGAAAACAAAAATATTTGCATTTTTCATTCGCTCACTTTGGAGTGGGTAAAAAAGGGAGTACAAAAAAAGGCTAAAATTCTTCAATTTGGTTCTATTTTCCTTCTAATTAACACACATAATTTATTTTCATTACTTCTATTTCATTTATTTTCATTCCATTCTCCTCTATCTCTTTCCATCCATAAAAAAAACCCGAGAGCTAAGGCATAAGTACCCAATGCACAATAGAACTACAAGATACATCGTACAAAAATGAGATATATTATTATATTCAATGGCTTAAATCTTGGGGCGTTTACCGACTCCTAATATCTAGAAGTTAGATCGAGCCATTTCTTAAATTGACTTTGGGTGTATACTCATTGAGCAGTTTGACATTGACATTTTATAGAAAATCCACTTATACCATAATAATGATTTAAATTAATGCAACTAAAGAAAAAAAAAACTACATTACGAAACTTTTAAATACAATCATTTATGTACTTTAACAAAATTATTAGGTTGTCATTAGAAAAAAAGCACTACCCATTATCGAGTTACTGAATTTTCAAATAAAAATACATAATAAAAAACTAATTTAATAACCACAACAGAAATAAGACAAATCATTACAAAATAATTTGGCACCCAAGTTTTTTGAAGTGGGAAATTCGTCTGCTTTTTGCCCCTTTTGTTTTTGTTGTTTTGGTTTCGTCATCTCTTCCGATCTCACTGTTCTGACTTCATCATCATCTATGTTATTATATTCATATCATGAATCCAACTACCACTCTTTCCCTTTACATCTCTATACAAAATTCAAACAAACCCCAGTTGACCAATCTAACTCCTCCGTCCCATTTTCCCCCAAAGCTTACCTTTTTCTCCACAAACATGGTGGCTGATCGTACCTTCTCCTCACTCATATTCATATGGGTCCATCTCTAATTTAACATCCACTCCCCATCTACACTTTGTTGATCGATTTTTGCATGGTTTTCGTTTTAGTTTTACAAATCAGCAAAAAGAAAAGTGAGAGTGACACCTGAAGTCCGATGAATGATACACGAACTGTGTTCTCTGATTCAACCGATATGATCAGTGGGAGCAGCGGTATATCATCGACACCCGCCGCCAATGAATTTGAGCCTCCCCTTCTTCTTTCCGATGTTTCCGCCCTCGATCGTCTATCGGAAACCCTAGAATCTATCTTACTAGAACCCGCAAATTCCTTTGCTGACGCCAAAATTATCCTTTCCGGTGGCCGGGAAATCCCCGTCCATAGGTGCATCCTGTCGGGGAGGAGCCCCTTTTTCAAGAATAAATTTGGTGACAGTTCCATTAAGGACAAGAATCGCAATGTGAAATTGGAGATGAAGGAATTAGCTAGTGATTACGAAATCGGATTCGAATCTTTAATTGGTGTATTGAAGTATATGTATACTGGTAAGATTAACGGATTACCTAAAGATGCTTGTGCTTGTGTTGATGAAGGTTGTTCCCATGAAGCTTGCCGACCTGCCGTTGATTTCATGGTGGAGGTGATGTATGCCTTTCACATTTTCCAGATCCCAGAAATGGTTACTCTCTGGCAGGTAAATTACTAAATTAGCCTTACATTAATTGCTAGATGGGCGTATGATAATAAGTTTTGTTGCAACTAGTATGAAAATGGTTACTTAAAAAGATTATTTGATTTCTATATAATATATAATCATTAGTAGAAGTGTGATACCCAAACACTAAAAACTTATATTGCAACCTCAAATTACAATAATAAGATAAACACTTTTAAAACTTACATCCAAACACCCTCTTTATCCTCCAATAAACCATAGTTTCTATCAACAATTCAACATAAAGAAATATGGACACTAGTCATCAGCCTTATGAAATAGTGACCAAGTTTCAGATTTGTTCCACATGGGCATCTCAAACTTTTTTTAAGAAAGGTGTAATCACTTAGGTTTCATTTTTGTTCCATTTATTAGAAATCAGGTAAATTGTAAATTGTTTTACTAATGACTTGACAATGACGTGATACGTCATTGTCAAGCAAACAGGTAAACTTGTTTACCTGATTTCACTTAAATGGAACAAAAATGAAACCTAAGCGGTTAGACCTCTTCTAAAAAAAGCTTGAGATGCCTATGTGGAACAAATCTTAAACTTGGTTACTACTTAATGACATTGTTCCTTAGATTTTTATTCGGTCCGAATAATCATTATTTTCCTTTTTTAATGTAGACGCGGATACTCAACATTCTTGACAAAGCTTCCGTGGATGACATTCTAGTAATTCTATCGGTTGCAAACACATGTGGAATATCATGCAACCAACTTCTTTCCAAATCCATCGAAATTCTAGTCAAATCAAACGTTGACTTTGTCACTCTCGACAAAGCATTACCCGAACAAATAGTCAGACAAATAATCGATTCCCGTTTTGCCCTTGGTTTAGACAAGCCCGGAAGCAGTAGTTTCCCGGACAAACACATAAAACGTGTCCACCGAGCTCTCGATTCAGACGATGTTGAATTAGTCACAATGCTATTACGAGAAGGCCATACATCTTTAGATAACTCTTGTGCCTTACATTACGCAGTTGCATACGCGGATGCTAAAACAACAACCGAGTTGCTTGATTTGTCACTTGCGGATGTCAATTTTAGAAATTCGAGGGGTTTTACAGTGTTACATGTAGCGGCAATGAGAAAAGAGCCGAATATAATTGTGTCGCTTCTTACCAAGGGCGCACGCCCGGCGGATCTTACCCCGGAGGGTAAAAAAGCACTTGAGATTTCAAAAAGACTTACGAGGGCGGTTGACTATTATAAGTCAACCGAGGAAGGGAAAGAGTGTGGGAAAGGGAGATTGTGTATTGAGATATTGGAACAAGCGGAAAGAAGGAATCCTTTGTTGGGAGAGGCTTCGGCTTCTCTTGCTATGGCTGGAGATGATTTAAGGGTGAGATTGTTATATCTTGAAAATAGAGGTATGGAATTTGAAACTTTAGAGACAAGTTAACGAAATATGTTACTATTTCTAACTTATTTTTTTTTTTAGTTGCACTGGCTAGTTTACTATTTCCAATGGAAGCTAAGGTTGCAATGGAGATTGCTCAAGTTGAGGGCACTTCTGAATTCACATTAGAAAGTGTATATTCTCAGAATTTAGCAAATGCACAAAGATCAGTGGATTTAAATGATGCACCTTTTTTGATTAAAGAGGAACATCTTATTAGATTAAGAGCACTTTCTAAAACAGGTAAATTATTATCTTTCTACATTATATTCTATACATGTGTCAAGAGATTTCAGAATTAATTCCAATTTTTGGTCCCCAAAAAGTGTCCCAAGTGTTATTGGTCCCGAGAGATTTCAGAATTAATTTTTTGGTCTCAAAAACGCCTCAAATAAGTTTGAGACCAAAATTGAACAACTCAGCTATACTCAGGGACGAAAATGTAATTACTTACGATTTTAAATAGTGGAAAGCTAACTTTAATGATCTTTAAATTGTGATGGGATATATGAACAGTGGAACTTGGGAAACGTTTCTTTCCAAGATGTTCGGAAGTACTAAATAAGATAGTTGATCCGGAAGCACATAAATGGAAAAACACGCCGGAAGAACGAGAATTAAAGAAGCAAAAATATTTGAATGTTCAAGAAACTTTAAATAAAGCTTTTACTGAGGATAAAGAAGAATTTGACAAGTCATACACAATATCTTCTTCATCTTCATCCACATCTGGAGTTGTAAATCCACACACTACTCCATTTACATTCCAAAAATAGCAACTCTATTACGATATAAGTGTAATACTGTATCATGGTAGTCACAAATTCAACTCTTGTTACTTGTAAAATTTATTTGTTATTGTGACCATTTTTAGGTTACATTTTTATAAATAAGAGTTTTTGTAGATTGACTCAATCCTTCATTGATTAGCTTAGCTGTTGTAAGATCTTATATGGGTTCCTGTTTTAGATCGGTAGATACACACTTCACCTAAATGGGGCACAATAGCACACTTTCCAGATATGGAAAGTTAATAGAATGTGCAAGTGGGAAAATACAGGGAAATTGTATAAAAAGTGGGATTTGGATCATTAAAATTAGATAAATCACACAAAAGCCTTTTTAGAACATTGACCACACATTCCATGAATTTTGTCTCACTATAAGACCGCATTTTCCCGGGAATTAAAACATTGACCACACATTCCATGAATTTTGTCTCGTCCATTTGCGGATATATTTTTCTTAGTAAAACGTACTCGATAACTCATTGTGTGTCATTTATGTTATCATCTTCCCTCATGCAACCGTTATCAATGTCTTCGTAAAGAACCCGGGATTTCTCCTCATGATTGTACTATTCATGAGTAATTTTAATATAAACATCTTCCGATGCAACATTATGATAGAGCTATTTGCTACCCATGAAACCGAAAAATGGGATAGCGAATATATTTGATAGGCTAACATGTTTGAGTGATAGTATAGTATTAACCAATTTACTTTATATATATATATATATATATATATATATATATATATATATATATATATATATATATATATATATATATATATATATATATATATATATATATATATATATATATAGGGTTAGGATCAAATGTGAATCACAAGTATTGTATGAATGTATGACCAAATTATAACCATTAGATTTATAAAATCAAAGGATGTGATTTTAATGTACATGTTACTAACATGGACTAACATTCATTATATAATTTCACTAAATTAATTATTATGGTAATAATGACATTGTATTAAAAGAGAGAGAAAAGAAAGTAACTACATTTTAGCCAATTAAATAAAATTAATTAATAAAAATCACTCATATCGTATATTTTATTCAGCATATTAAAATATAATATATATATTTTTTAAGAATACGATGTTATTCTATATATATGAACATATATTTTCATTCTTTCATTCTTAAAGAATACAATTTTCATTCAAAAAAATTAACATTCTTAAGGAATACACGTTTATATAGTAGTAGACATTAAAATTTCATAACTTTAAGGAAAAAGTATTGCAGTATGATCAGTAATAGATACTATAAAAATAAGAATCATTCTTAGAACATAAAACAATCATTTTTATATCGTAAAACAAGAATATATACAACAAATAAAAAAATATACATAACTTTCTATACTATATTCATTAAGAATAAGTTGTTGTATATACTATATTCTTTATATCATATACAATATTCTTTAAGAATATACAAAGAAATTCTACTAAATCCCTTAAGAATTCATTTGCAAAAAAACTAAATTAAAATAGGTATAAACTATATATTTTATTATTTTAAAATCGTTTAAATAATTAGATTTATAAATTTTTATAGAAAATATCCAAACAATCAATTCTTGCTTAATGTATATGAAAACCATTACTTAACCATTATTTAAGACTTGGGTTGCATCAAAAATCAAAACCATGAATCCATTATTTATTGATAAATCCTTATAAATAAATAAATAAATAAATAAAACAATTTTCAAACATTTACAATAAATATTAACAAAAAAAAAAAAACGAAAACAAAAAGTCAATTTGCACCTTATTTTTTAAATAAGCAATAGCAGCACTATGGTTTTTGAAAACTTACTTTTCCAACTATTCTATTATAACCGATTGATTTTTGCTAAGAAACGGTTCCATGTATTCAAACACAAAACTGATGCATTCCAAATATATAACTTATTTAATTAATAGAAAATAAAAATTATTTTTTATATTGATTGGACTATAATTGGTCATACATTCACAAAATATTTAATGGTTATATATGATCTTAACTCTCTCTCTCTCTCTCTCTCTCTCTATATATATATATATATATATATATATATATATAATATATATATATATATATATATATATATATATATATAATCAAGTTCATTTAGCATGTACAATTTTTAGAGTTTGAATATACTAGGAACTTTTTGAGTGGAATGATGCAGTCTCCGAATTGGATGAAATTCGCATATTCTATATATATCGTAAAACTATAAATCACTTTATCATCACCGACGATGTTATTTTTGTCATTCGGGACTGTTTAACGTCTCAAAATGTCGTTTTTCGGTTTTGAGCTGGCGCCCGAACTTTTCGGGTGGAATGATGCAGTCTCCGAATTGGACGGAATTCGCACATTGTATGTATATGGTAAAACTATCAATTACTTTGTAATCATCAACGATGTTATTTCGGTCATTCGGGACTATTTAGGGTCCAAAAATGTCGTTTTTCGGATTTAGGCTGGCGCTCGAACTTTTCAGGTGGAATGATGCAGTCTCCGAATTGGACAAAATTCGCACATTGTATGTATATGGTAAAACTATAAATCACTTTATGATCACTGATGATGTTATTTCGGTCATTCGGGACAATTTAGGGGCTCCAAATGCCATTTTTTGGTTTTGGGCTGACGCGAACTTTTCGAGTAGAATGATGCAGTCCCCGAATTGGACACAATTCACACATTATATATATATATATATATATATATATATATATATATATATATATATATATAGTAAAACTATAAATCACTTTGTGATCACCGACGATGTTATTTCGGTCATTCGGGACTGTTTAGGGTCTCAAAATGTCGTCTTTAGGTTTTGGGCTAGCGCGAAAACTTTTCGGGTGGAATGATGCAGTCTTCGTATTGGACGAAAATCGCACATTGTATGTATATGGAAAAACAACCAATCACTTTGTGATCACCGACGATGTTATTTCAGTCATTCGGGGTTGTTTACGACTCAAATGTCGTTTTTCGGTTTTGGGCAGGCGCGCGGACTTTTCGGTGGAATGATGCAGTCTACGAATTGGACGAAATTCGCATTGAATGTATTTCGTAAAACTATAAATCACTTTGTGATCAACGACGGTGTTATTTCAGTCATTCAGGACTGTTTATGGGCTCAAAATGTCGTTTTTCGGTTTTGGGCTGGCGCGCGAACTTTTAAGGTGGAATGATGCAGTCTTCAAATTGGAGGAAATTCGCATATTGTATGTATATGGTAACACTACAAATCACTTTGTGATCACCGACGATCTTATTTCGGTCATTTGGGACTATTTATGGGCTAAAAATGTCGTTTTTCGGTTCTGGGCTGGCGCACGAACGTTTTAGGTGGAATTATGCAGTCTTCAAATTGGACGAAATTCGCATATTGTATATACATGGTAATACTACAAATCACTTTGTGATCACCGAAGCTGTTATTTCGGTCATTCGCGACTGTGTAGGGGCTCAAAATGTCGTTTTTCAGTTTAGGGCGGGCACGCGAACTTTTTGGGTGGAATGATGTAGTCTCCGAATTGGATGAAATTCACACATTGTATGTATATGGTGAAACTATTAATCACCTTGTGATCAACGAAGATGTTATTTCGGTCATTAAGGACTGTTTAGGGGCTCAAAATGTCGTTTTTCGGTTTTGGCTGGTGCGCTAACTTTTCAGGAGGAATGTTACAGTCTCCGAATTGGACGAAATTCACACATTGAATGTCTATCGTTAAACTAAAAATCACTTTGTGATCACCGACAATGTTATTTTGGACATTTGCGACTATTTAGGGGCTCAAAATGTCGTTTTCAGAAAAAGGGCTTGCGCGCGAACTTTTCGGGTGGAATGATGTTGTCTCTGAATTGGACGAAATTCGTACATTGTATGTATATGGTAAAACTATAAATCACTTTGTGATCACCGACGATGTGATTTCGGTCATTCGGGACTGTTTAGGGGCTCCAAATGTCTTTTTTGGTTTTGGGCTGGCGCGTGAATTTTTCAGGTGCAATGTTGCAGTCCCCGAATTGGACGAAATTCGCACATTGTATGTGTATCGTAAAACTATGAATAACTTTGTGATCTCGGACGATGTTATTTCGGTCATTCAGGACTGTTTAGGGGCTCAAAATGTTGTTTTTAGGTTTTGGGCTGGCGCACGAACTTTTTGAGTGGAATGATGCAGTCTAAGGATTGGACGAAATTCGCACATTGTATGAATATGGTAAAACTATAAATCACAATGTGATCACTGATGATGTTATTTTGGTCATTCAGGACTATTTAGGGGATGAAAATGCCGTGTTTCGATTTTGGGCTCGCACACGAACTTTTCGTGTGGAATGATGCAATTCTCCGAATTTGACGAAATTCGCACATTGTATGTATATAGTAAAACTATAAATCACTTTGTGATCACCGACGACATTATTTCGGTCATTTGGGACTGTTTAGGGGCTCAAAATGTCGTTTTTCGGTTTTAGTCTGGCGCGCGAACTTTTCGTGTCGAATGATGCAGTCTCCGAATTGGACGAATTCGCACATTGTATGTATATGGTAAAACTATAAATCACTATGTGATCACCGAAAATGTTATTTCAGTCATTCGGGACTGTTTAGTGGTTCAAAATGCCGTTTTTCCGTTTTGGGCTGACGCACGAACTTTTCGGGTGGAATGATGTTATCTCCGAATTAGATGAAATTCAAACATTGTAGGCATATGGTAAAACTATAAATCACTTTGTGATCACCAACGATGTTATTTCGGTCATTCGAGACTGTTTAGGGGCTCAAATTGCCGTTTTTCGGTTTTGGGCTGACCTTCGAACTTTTCGGGTGGAATGATACAGTCTTCGAATTTGACGAAATTCACAATTTTTATGTATATGGTAAAAGTATAGATCAATTTGTGATGACCAACGATGTTATTTCAGTCATTTGGGACTGTTTATGGGCTCAAAATGCCGTTTTCGGTTTTTGGCTGGCGCGCTAAGTTTTCTGGTGGAATGATGCAGTCTCCGAATCGGACGAAATTCGCACATTATATGTATATCGTAAAACTGTTAATCACTTTGTGATCACCGATGAAGTTATGTCCGTCA